CAAGTACGCCTTTTTCTTGATTCCTTGCGCGCGCGGGGCGGCGGGCGGCGCGGACGGCGGCGGCGGACCAGGCTAGGCAGCGCGGCCCCGAGCGCCCCGCTCAGGCCGTTGGCGCGTCCGGGGAGCCCGGCGCCCGGTGCCGCCGCCGCCTTTGTGCGCGGCCACGAAGCAACAAAGCGCGGCGGCCGCCCGGGGTCGCGGCGGAGGCGCGGGTCCCGCTCCCCTCCGCCCTGCGCCGCGCGGCTCCGGCCGCCTCTGCCCGGGGCTCGGGGGCGTCGCCGCGGCCGAGGCGCGCATCCTGGACTTGGCACGGCCCGCGCGCCCCGCGCCAGCCCGGCCTCCGCGCGCCCTCCCTCGCGGAAGGGATTTTTTTCCCTTTCCTCTGCCCGCCATCTTCGGAAGGGGGGAACCCGGGCGGACGCGCCGGGGGAAGGTGTGTGCGGCTGCTCGGGCCGCAGCAGTGCGCTCCGGCACCAGTTCGCCCGTGCCCGACTGGGGACCTTAGTGGCCAGGGCGGGGGGCCGGGCCTGGTCTCTGCGCGGCCGCCCAGAGGAGCGGCGGCCAGGCCTTGGGGGCGACCTCCTCTCAGAGTTGTGGGCCCGGAGTCGACTTCGCTCCCCTACCAGTTGCTGGATTACTTTAGCCAGGCCAGGAGAAGACCGAGTTCCCGTTGTGAAATCAGCCTGAAGAGCTCTTAATCCGGCCCAGGTCGAGTTGGATCGGGAGGGGTGGGGGCGCTTCCCTCCTTCCTACTTGGGGTGGGCACCGGCGTGGCAACACGGTGCAAGCCCATCTGCGGAGTAGTGCGCACCAAACCTTCTCCTACGAGGGCTTTGAAGGCTCCCTGTGAATAAAGCTGGGGGCCTGGGGACGTCCTTTCTCCCCCGCTTGCGGTGTCCGGGGCAGAGCCGCAGTGAGGGCCAGGGGCAGCGCGCTTGGTTCGCCAGGACCCACTTGAAGCGGACCAGTGGTCCACCGTGAGTTCCCGCTGTTGTGCCCAATCCCGAAGTGTGTGCGGTCCAGAATTTTGGTTGAGATTCTGCTCACAAATGCACAGTTGGTGTCCCCCGCCCCTCTAAGTTAAACTTATTGACTGCAGAAGTTAATGGTAGTGGGGGGGGGGCATGCATTTCTAGACCCGCCAACAGGGCTGGACGCCTGGAGAAACCTAAGCTAGGGAGGGTTCTCTTTGTGCCCTGCTCTCCTCCCAGGAGGAGGTAAGTTTCCTTCCCTTGCTGTTTCAGACCTTTTCTTACTCTTTCCTTTACTATGGAAATTCTTCCTGAGTCTATGCCGCGTTAGCATTTTGAGTGAGTTTTTTTTTTACTGACATTGCTGGGGGTCTAGGAAAGGGCGGGCCTCAGGTTAGGGACCTTCTAGGTGTGGGGGCAGGCTGCCTTTCTTCCCCAGGGGCCCCAGTGAGGCTTTTCATTTACAAATAAAGGTCTGTTTGCCTTATGTCGGGCCTTGATGTGTGCTGGTGGTTACTGATCAGGAGAGATAAGGCACAGCCCAGACGGTGTCAGGAGGTAGGGGCATTTTTGACCTTCCTGGTAACGGCAGGGCACTGAGTGTCTGCAGAGACAGTCCAAGCAGCTGCAGAGATCTGGTGCTTGCCCTGTCACTGAGAAGTTCAGGGAGGAGGGATTTGAAAAGCTTTCTTAGGGTGGACAGTAAGCACCATTTTGACTTTTGGTTTTAGAAAGTAGAGTGATTGCTTTGGAAGTGAGATTTGAATAGAGGACAGATTTGTAAAACTTCTCCCTTGCTAGACTCCAGGCAGTCTTCCACAGAAAGTGAAAGTGGGGGAGTGTCTCAAGGGAAGGCCAAGGCCCCTTGGCAGGGGCTCCTGCCTGCCTGAAGTCCTGTGTCCTGGGCCTCCCAGGGTTGCCTTGTCTTTCTCCTGGTTTACTGTGGCAGAGCTCTCCTGGAGGGCTGGGGGCCCAGACGCTTCCAAGCGGAGTGATTGGTACAGGATGGTCAGGCCATCAGGTACATTTGCCCTGGGGATATGTCAGGAACCAGTCGCCCTCCCCAAGTCCCTGCAGCTGGGGGAGCTTGCCTTGACTGCTCTGAAAGTCTTGATTTTGGAAACCATGAAGGTATTTGGCTCAGTGGTGAGGCTGATCAGCAGTGGGGCCCTCTTGCCCTCTGGACTGGTTATTGGTATAGGCAGACTTCTCATACCTGCAGAGGAAGCCAGTATCTAGTTGTGTCTGATCCTTGCTTCAAATGAGAAACTGTGGCAGCCAGCAGCATTCCATCCCCTAAGAAAGTCTCTGGGTTTTGTGGGGTTCTGCAGACCTGGGTGAGCCTGGGGCTCTGCCCCTTGCTGGAGCACAGGAGATCAGGCCACTGCTGCCACACGTAGGTCCCCATGGCTGGAGCATATATCCTCAGCATTCTCTTTTCTGTGAAACCCAAGCAGCCGAGGAGTCCTTGTGCTCTGCTGCCTGGGGTGGTGGGGCTCTTATCAAAGGAAGCATCCCGTTTGGATCATGTATGTGTTGGTGGCTTTGAGTGTGAGTCTTTCAGCCAGTTCAGGTCTGAATTCACATTGGAGCTGGGAGCCCCCCCCCACCCCCCCGTGTGTGTGTGTGTGTGTGTGTAGCTGTTGGCTGTCTCTGGCCAGTGTCTGTCTCATGAGGGATTCAGTTCTTAGGTACTTCCTCTGCAGGACCCTGTAGCCTGGAATTGGAGGTGCATTTTGGAGAAGGTTCTCCTTTCCTCAGAAGCCTCAAAGTCCTGCAGAATCCGCAGAAGCTAATGAGCTATTGGGAGGGCACTTCAGCTTCTTGGGACGTGTCATATGGGTGCAGTAACATCTAGGTGTCCCTGGTCAGGTGTCTCCTAGTGTGTTTGGAAGTTGGCCATGACAATGAATGTCTCAGGCATCTCCATATCCATTGGATTCCCAGGGTGATCTGCAGAGGAGGGACCTGTGGAATTGGAATCTGGGGCAGAGGGGACCTCCATGTCACAAGGAGCTTGGAGTCTGTCGCTGGGAGCTCTGGGTCCTGGGGGCAGAATGTCCTCAGCTTTTTCACAAGGACTGAGAGAGGTCTGGTGTGTACGTTTCTACCTGCAACGCCCACCTGCACATGAAGGCTGCTGCCCTCATGGTGGTCACTGTGTGTCTCTGGTGGCACTGCAGAAGGAAGAGGAGTGAGCTGGGCAATGCAGTGGGTTCCCTTCCTGGACAGTGCTGCCTGACCATCTGGGGCAGATCTAGGGGATATAGTGTGGCATGCAAAGGGTCCGGGCCTGGTTGTCTTCCAGTCAGGAGCTGGGTGCTGCCTGGCCCCAAGATGCTCACCACTTACTTGCGCCACATGACGGGGCCCTTGATGGTGCCCGCCCCACACTAGGGTGGGTGTGGACCACTGTGACTTCGGGAGCTGCGGACTTAAAATGAGGCATGTACCTTTGCTGGGCTCTGAGTTCTAGCTCCGCCTCAGTTTGGCCTGCACCCTGTCTTGAGGGGTGGCTAGACTGAGGGCAGGGCAGGCTGGCTGCCCCTGAGTATCAGGGCAGGGCAAGGTGGCAGTCCTGAGCTCCTGGCCCTCCTACCACTGCTGTTCTTCTTGTTCCCAAGTCCTCCCAGCCTGTGACTTCAGTCTGCCTCACTTCCCATCTGTTAAATGGGATGGTGGAGCTGGCTCCTTCTTAGGGCCATTGCCCAGGGCCAGCAGGCGGGGAGGGCTGGGGTGGGGGTTGCTCTGGAGCAAACAGCTGGTGTGCATGGCACCTCCCCTGCTCTGGCCAGCTCCTGCATCAGGTGCTGGTGGGAAGGTGTTCAGGTCAGTGGTTCTGAGCTGAGGGCGGGCAGCATGGGATCTCCGGGCAGTCCTGGCCGCTGATCTTGCTGGAGGCGGTTGAGGGGCAGGTTAGAGAGGCAGGGCCTGGCACCCAACCAGGCAGGGTCCTTTCCTAGCTTTCTTTTCCTGTATGAGTGGGGCTCTTCAGGCCACCCTAGAGGGGAGCTATTATAGTGATTATTCTTTGATCCCACAGACCAGGGTGCTGGGTAGACTCCAGCCTGGCTCCAGAAAGTACTGAGTGAGGGGAGTGTTGGTCCATCTGAGCCTTGGTGCTCACCACGCCACTGCAGTGTTGCTGGGCCACCTGACTGGGGACAGTACCCCCTTCCCTCTCCAGGGCGAGTGTCTTCCTCTGTGTCCTTCTGGGGAGAATATCCTTCTGGGCTGTGGCTCTGTGGTCACCCCCACCCATGCAGGGGCCCTTGAGTGCAGCAGGTGGCCGGGTGCATGGCCACTGAGCTCTCCAGAGGGACGGGCCAGGGCCTGGCCTGCTGGGCCCCTGGCCAGGAGTCCTGGTTTCTCAGCAAGAGTGTGAAGGGACTCAAGTGTAAGGTGTCCGCCTGTCCTTGCTGTTGTGGCTATGGTGGGGGGTCAGGGTCTGTGTTGAGGTGGACGTCCCTGCAGCAAAGGAACCTTCAAAGGCTGGCTCCCAGGTGGGCTCCTGTGGCCTGAGGAAAAAACCTGGATCCAGAAAGTGGGGGGGGTGGTTGGAGGAGAAGCAGGACCGCAGCTGCTGCCTGGGGAGCGCCTGCATGCCTGGCCGTGGGACAGCCCCGTGGGTCCAGTGGAGCAGGGCACATAGGATGGGGCCAGGGCTGCCAGACAGGGCTGGGCAGCTGTTGCAAGGCAGGTGTGATGTGGACCCGACAAGCATGGGGCGCTGGCCAGGGGCGCCTAGACAGCAAGGGCCCTGCGCCTCTTACATGGGAGAGTCTGTCCTGGACAGGGAGGCCCCGCCCATGCTGACTGCCCGCCCTGGGGCCGCCTGGAGGCCCCTGGCCCTGGTTCCTGCCCTGGCTTGTGGAAGCAGTTGGCTCCGTCTGTCACTGAAGTTGGCCCTCCCTTATGGATCCAGTTTCCCGCAGCCTGAGGGCTGGCCCCAGGGTGGCCGCTCCAGGGGCACTCATTCTGTCTGCCAGGGCAGCAGGCAGCAGTGCCTGTAGCATGGCTGTGCAATTCCCCGGAGGTGGCATGGGCCTGGCGTCCTGGCTGGGTCGGCCTCACCCTTTGGCTCTCCCCACCCTGAGCCCCCCCTTCCTCACCTGGAACCCCGTGGGTGCCACACTAGGATGGAGCAGCATCGGCCACTCGGAGTACAGGAGGCCATCAGTATGGGGTCCCCAGGACTGGCCCAGGGGTGTGGGAGATACTGTGACAGGAGTCCTCAGGAGAATGATGACCCCAGGTAGATGGAGAGAGCGGGCCACCCTCCCATTGGAGGAGCTGGCCTCCTTGAAGGCTGTGTTGTGGCCAGTGGGGACAGTGGATCTGAGCAATAGGGGAGACCAGGGCCACTGAGATCCAGAGGAACCACCCCGCCCAGCTTCCTTCCCACTCTGCTGCCCATGAGCCCGCCTTTCTGGAGCTCTGCTGCCCTCTGGGGTGTGTGCGCCCTTGGAGTGGCTGGGGACACGTGCCCCTCCTCTGCACCCATTGTCACATCCACCTGTTCCTGAACACGCCCAGGGCTGTGTCTCTGCAGATCCTCCAGTGCCCCAGGTGGGAGCCCCATGAGCATGCCCCCTGCCTGGCCCTGTAGGGTCCCTGCTCCCCAACCCCCACATGGCTCCTGCAGCCTTCCCATCTGTCTGCTGAAACACCCCAAAAGGGTCCCTGCTCTGGGGCCAGGCGAGGCTAGAGATGCCACCTGCTGTCCTCCAGCTGGCC